GGCGGAACCAGGGATTGAACTCAGGCCCTTGCCTACTGAGCCATCTCCCAGCCCCCTATTTATTTATATGTATTTAGTAAAGGGTCTACAAGGCCTCACAACACAGATGGGGAAGGGACTTACAGTGATCCTCCTCTTTTCAGCCTCCCAAGCACTGGGATTATAGGTGTGCCCCACCATTCCTAGTCTCATTGCACCCAGGGGCTGGGACCAGCACGGCTTGCTGGGGATCGAACCCTGGTCCCTGCTTCTGCCTCAGCAGGCGCTTTAGTCCACTGAGCTACCTGGCTGGCATAAGAACCATATTTTCTACCAAAAAAAGTTTGGTTTTTTTCAATGCAAGAAGCTGCAAGAAATTCTAGTCCTCTCTGGTCTTATCTCCAGAGTTTCTAATTTGGTTGATAATTTGGGGGTTGTGTTTAAGCCATAATTACTGCCATAACTAAGTATATTCTTCATTCTCATTTTTAAAAATCATTTATTTATTTAATTTATTTGGAACAGGGTCTCGCTATGGAGCTCAGGCTTGTAGACCCTCCTGTCTTAGTCTCCCCAGCGCTGGGATCACAGGTATGTGCCACCAAGCCCGGTTTCCGTGGCCAGCTTGGCAGGGGGCCAGCATGGCATGTGGGACTGGGGATCGAATCTGGGTCTTTGCATTTTCCAGGCTGGCGCTGACACTCCTGAGCTCACTTCTCAGACTTGATTCTAATTTTTCACCTTCTCCCTTCCAGAAATGGTGGGTAGCTAGGTAGGCCAATGACTTGAATTCTAGATGACCCAACTTGTGGTTTTCTTCATGTAAGCCTTTCCCTGCTAACAAGTGCATATTTTTACACAAACCCGTCAGAGAAAGTAAAACTGAAAATTTATGTCATGAAGAGAAACATGTAAAAGGCTACACCTCGCATTCTGGCCAATATTCACTTTTTTTTTAAACGAGGCATTTCTGTGCATATCTGTGGGCACTCTGCCCTGACTCTCCTTCTGCCATTATCCCTAAACACCTCCTCAAAAATGCAGTATAATGCTATGTCTAGTGGTTAGTTTTTCTCAGAAACCTTTTATTAAAGGAAAATATTTTGAACTATAAAATTAGACTTTACTGTAAGTGAAGTGATTACAGGTGAATTACACTGTAATCAGTGTGATTAAACATGTACTGAAAGATTAACTAAGTATTTTGTGTACATCATGCACCTTTTGCTTATGTCTATTAAACTGGTTTGTGATTTTGTCTTGGAATACGATAGCGTATTTTTATAAAAAATAATTAAATCAAAGGTATAAATGGAAAAGCCCTGACACAGAAACATAAACCTATTAAGTAGGATAAAGTCCACAATCACTAAAATATAAATATCTTTGGACCAAATACGTGTGAGATGCCTGGCCAGATGCCTCCCAGGCCTCACGTAGACGCAGCAAGCGCAGCCACCTTCCCCTGCGTCACCAATCCCACAGGAGGCCTGCCTGAGCCCGATGTGGTCACAGGAGTGCCAGAAGTCCACCCTTTTCTAATGTAAATCAGCAGGGTGTAGTTTAATCAAAACTCCCAATTTTACTTTTTTAAAAGGAGCAAACTGAGAAGGCTTTTACAATAATAATATCCAAGTCCCTCACAGATACTAGGTTTTATCAACTGTGGGAAATTTCATCTTATTTAACTGAAAACGAAATTTTACCAATTACAAATATGAAGGTGTCTTCACACACAGGCACACAGCAAAGAGAACGCAGTGAGCTATGAAGACCTAACACCCCTGAACAAAAAGTCCTACTTTGTGCAGGTCAGCAGCTTACTATCTTCTCTCCTGACGTTACTTACAGGGGCACCTTTCTCTCCAGCTGGCCCAGGAGGTCCCTGGGGTCCTGGACGCCCCGGCAGACCGATGGGGCCAGCTGTGCCTGCGGACCCGCGTTCTCCTGGTGAGCCCTGGGACACAAGAAGAGAAGTACTTTAATGATAGGAAAGGTGATGCTGATCCTGGAGTCACTTAGGGAACAATAGAATCTTACAGGTTAGTAGGAACTAGAAAAGTAATTTTTAAACAGCTTCAAGATCTCAAAAAGGAATTCTTGTAACCACTATTTGGAAAGTTAATTTCTAGTTCCAATGTGAAGTACAGATGTTGAAGTTAGGAAATGTTGATGACATGAAAAAACTTTAAAATGTAATATTTTAATATTAATATTATTTAATACTTTATATGTATTTCTTTTTCTATTTGTGTTTACAATTGTGTACAATATAAAACATGCATTCCATTTATCGAACTTTTTATATAGTATTTTTGCACTATAAAAGATTGGCAGAGCACACTCCCTATTTTATTTCTTAAAATGACTTCTGAGTTTCAATTCAAAGCTGCTAAATCAAAATGACTTCAGAAATTCTCATATCTATTTATTCACATAGGCAAGTTTGGTAACTAGTATCCTGGAATTTAAACTCTTCCCTCTAGAGAAAAAGTCCTTAAATTTACTCAAAGTCCTCTAGGAATCACTAGGTCCTATGAGGAAGACTGCGTAGACAATTCTTATTTGATTGGGTTATGAAATCCACTTTATAGAAAGACGTCATACATATTGTAACTAATCTGCTTTACAAAAATCTCATGTAAAGTGTTTTAAAGATCAGCCTGTGAATAATGTCTTCATATTGATCATCTGCAGCAACAATTTCAAACAACGTTTAGGACTAGAATAAGGGAAATACAACCATGTAGTTCCTCAGATAAAAAAAACTCAAATACATCTATTTATTTCCATTTGTGATAATAAAGCATAACCTTATGTTGTGTTGGGATAAGGTTACCAGATGAGTGATAAAGTTACAGTATACCCTATTTCAGGATTGAACCAAATGTAAAAATGGTTTCCCATCAGTTTTACTAAAAAAAAAAAAAAAAAAAAATTCATCATTAGCAGCTTTCTTCCATGATTAACACTGTATGACTTGGCAGGTGGAAGCCAGCGGAGCTGTGAGGCGAGCCTCGGCCTCACTGCCCTAACTGACTTCAGCATGGAGGAGAAGGCAGGGAACTGCAAGGTTCCAGGCGAGCTGGTCAATGGCTTCAAGACTGCAGAGCCCCAGGAAGCAGACCGTGCCTGCCTGCAGTGCCGGACCCTGAAGACCCACATCCTCAGAGCAAGCTGCTCGAGGGTGACAAGGACCAGGGAGCACAGAGCGCGTTCACACCTGCAGGGCCTCGTCTGAGGAGGAGTCAGGAGCAGATAAGGTTCAGAACAGAGCCGATGATGGTGTGAAAGCCTCGAAACTAGATGAAGAATACTTACTAGAACTGGAAAAAAATATGCCAGATGAAGAGAAACAGAAGAGAGCACTAGACTAAGGGAAGAAGCAAATGAACAGTTCAAGAAAGGAGATCACGCAGAAGCTGAGAGTTCTCACACGCAAGCCCTGCAGATGTGCCCAGCATGCTTTCCAAAGGACAGAGCTCTTTTGTTTTCAGAGTTGCAGCACGGATGAAACAGGACAAGGAGACGGCCATCAGGGACTGTGGCAAGAGTGAGACAGGACAAGGAGGAGGCGGCCATCAGCGGCTGCAGCAAGGATGAAACAGGACAGGGAGGAGGCGGCCATCAGGGACTGCAGGAAGGGTGAGACAGGACAAGGAGGAGGCGGCCATCAGGGACTGCAGGAAGGGTGAGACAGGACAAGGA